GCTGGCAGCAGTAATGCAATCCATCCCCAGCAGCAGAGGAGATCCCTCACCCTGTTCCTACAAGCTGCAAAGCTCCCTGCCTCCCTCCACATCCCACCTCATCTGTGACTCCCACAAAATCTCGGGATTTGCAGGGCCTCCCACCTGTCACTTCATTTTTCCCTCCTTGTCACACATGTTCTCAGTCTACCTTCCCTCTCTGTGCCCATGCACCAGTTTTCTACCTCTTCTGTTATTTTTCCTAATATCACTGATCCTGCCAGCCATGTCCATCCTCCCAAGCCCCAGAGCTAAAGCTGTTTCCGTGCTGGAAGGTGATAATGGCTGCCAGGAACCAGCTGTTAGGGCTGCTGCGAACTGCAAGGCAGATGGAAGCTGAGGCTGGGATAATTATGAAGCAGGGACTGCAGAACTTGAGGTTTCTTGGCTAAAGGTGCCTAGTTTATTCCCAGAGACAAATGGGCGTATCCTTTGAATGTCAGTGGGTGACATGGGAGCAGAAAAGTCATCAAACTGTGGACAGTTTCCAATCCTGGCTATGGAGCGCTGCATGTGATGCCTCCTCATCTCACAAACACCCACGGCTGCTGCTGCCAAGCTGCTCTGGACAAGGAGAATGTGCTCCTGCACTGCAGTGGCAGCTGAGGAAATCTCCATACTGGTTTCAAGGGCTGGATTTCTGCAGGGCACAGGCAGGTTAGAGCTTTTCTCATGGGCCAGGAAGCAGCTACAATAGCACGGACTGTATTGCATCAGGATCATGGCAAGGTGGGAAAAAACCCTATTAAGTTCTTCCTATTTGTTTTTTTAGGTTTTTTTTTCCCCTAGAGCTTGCCAAAAGGATAACTGCATCAGTGGAAAATAAAAACTGGATTATGTCTTTTAGCAGTTCATTTATTCTTTATATTTCCAAACTGGTCCATTCAGAAGCTGTAGCAGGAATCACCTTGGAAGTTCATAGTTTTGTAATCAGAACCTCCCTTTCAATTAGTCATGTTTTATGGCTGCAAACACAATAATTCCATCAATACTATGGAACAGTCATGTTGCATTTGCATTAACATAAATGAGTGCTGATGTGCCATAGAGCTAATCTGATATGACAGTAATTGGCTGATGCCCAGCCATGGAGGCCCTGGAGCTACACTTGCTGTCTCTCTAAAAGAACTGTCCTCTGAAACACTAGAAAGGAAATAAACTCTGATACCATATTTTGCCTGCCAGTAATCAACAATGCCTCTTGCACCTGCAGCACCAAGGTGTCTGAGGTTGGGGAGTAGTTACTTTGTTGGTTGGGGTGTAACAAAAGTGGAACTTGATCTTCTTGAAACTTAAATATTCAGAAACCAGGATTTCCAGAATACATCGTTAGCTAAATCAGACTCAGCAAGCACCAAGTGGATATTAAACTCAGAAAAGCCATAAAAGCATTCAATCTACTCCTTTCCTCTTTGACTACCAGGGGCTATATATCATCACCTAGTCTGCAGTAGGCTTTTCTTACACAGATGAAGTTTAAGAAGCTTAAAACTTTATAAATGCTTTGGGGCTAATGTTGTTGTCTTGTGCAGTGCTCTACGCACAGGGGCAAGCCTTAAATCTGAGACTGCAGCTGGGGTTCTCTGGTTAAAGGCCTTAAAGGAGATCAACATAAGCGATGCCTAAAGATGTGAATTAGATCTTAAACACAGCCCATCTCCTGTCTGGGCCCTGAAAGCAAGTGGACAGACTCAAAAACAAGCTAACAGGAGTCTTCACAGTTCCAGTCACAATAGGAACTGCTTATTTTGCTTTTGGAAATACACCCTTTCAAGAGTGTTAGTGAGGAGAGACCATCAAAGAGGCTATCAAAGAAACCACAGCCAATACCCAGGCTTTCTGTATTTGGCTCATCAGCTCTGTGCATGCTTTGCTGTCTGGCTGCACAATGCCTTGCCCAATGCAACCTTGTCCATGATGGAGCTCTTGGGTTCTACCAAGTACAAACCAAAGAAGAGAAACCTCTTTGAATCAGAAACCATTCTTCTCAATAGTATGGCACTAAAGGCATATAATTTTCAGCAATATGCAAGAGCAGTATCTCAAAATCCCAGAGCATATGTGGCCTGACAGTGCCCAAAACAGCTCTTGGAGCAGCCAGTGAAATTAGGAGAGAATTTTGTTAAAGGAGGTGGAAAAGAGCACCTTAAACAGAGGATCTGTGAGATGATGGCTTAGGTTCTGGATTTGACTTAAATCTTTCTAGGTCTCTGATCTGCTCCGTCATCTGTAAAATGGGATCAATAAAACCTTCCTGACTTGCACCAGTGCTCCCAGTCTTAATTGATGTCTGTGAAGCATTTTAAGAGTGAAAAAAACCATTACCAAGCCCTCAGGCCTTACTATAATACCAACAAACAACACAGAGTTGTTTAAAATGCTTTTCAGTGCCACAATGACTGGGAAATGAGGGAAGGCAAAAGTGTAGATGCGCCCAGCGCTGCTTTGCTGCAGTGTAAATGAAAATGGTAGGAGTAGGTTTTATAGATTTCCCTCCAGGGAATTCTGGTTTCAATAATGCTGTAAAACTTCTACCTCTATAAATTCAAACAGATGCCCTTCCTAACACCTCAGGTATCAAAACCTATTATGAATTCGGGATAATATATCTTGGAGTTGAAAACGTTATGAATCACATGGAAACGAATTAAGAAATGACTCACTCGGACCCTGCAGATGTAAAGAGCTTAGTGCTGCCCAGCCACCCCTTACAGCGACTGAACTCAGGCTAGTACCGTGCCGAGCACACGATACCCCACCTTGCACAGCAAAAAAGCCCCAGGCACCTCACAGGCTCTATCCTGCCGGTCGCAAAGCTGTCGGTGCCTGCGGGTGCAGTTTTAGGACGCGGGGAAAAGCGCTCGGGCCGCGTCTGAGCCGGCGAAGCCGCCGCTGCCGGCGAGGAGCGAGGACTGCGGGGCGCGGGGGGAGCGTGCGGGACCCCCCAAACGAGCAGGTGTCAGCCGGGCGAGGGTGGAAGGGTTCGAGAAGCGCCTGTGTCCCCCCGCTCCCGCTGCCCGCGCTGGGCGCGGACCTGCCGGCGCGACACGAACGGCCCCGCCGGACCCGGGGAACGAGACCCAGCACACAGATAAACCACAAAGCCCCCGTGAGCCGCCCCGGGCGGGGGGCAGGAGGCCCCCGCCGGCCCCGCAGCCCTCTCGCACCGCAGCCATTTGCCTTTGTTGCAGCCCCGCGCCCGCAAGGTGCGGCGGAGCCGGGGCGGAGGATGGAGCTCGCCCCCGGGTCGCTCTCCCCTCACAGCGCGGCGGTGGGGACACGTCCTGCGAGAGCGGCTGCCGAGAGGGACCTGCCCGCCCGCCGCCCGCACCCACCTACCTGCGGAGCCCGCCCGGGACGCGTCGCCCGCCGCCTTTGTTGTGCATGCCCGCCCCGGCAGCGCCGAGCCGCGGGTCGGCTCCGGCCCGGCCCCTCCGCGCCCAGGCCCCGCTTAGCCCGTCGCCACGGCAACGGCGGGCGCGGCTCGGGAGAGGGACCGGCCCGGGCCCCGCCCCGTGAGGGGGCTGAGGGGACCGAGCGGGGGTCCCCGGGTGTCGGCGACGGGCAGTGCTGAGGGGACAGGGCTGGGGTCCCCGCGGTGCCGGGAGGCGGTGCCGGGAGGAGGCGGCCCCGCAGGCTCGGCTTTAGGGCGCTCGGCTCTGGGCGCCCGCCCTTCTCCCCAGCCCTGCGCCCCTCCTTCCCCAGCGTGCCGGGCAGTGCCGAGCTGGGCTTGGGTGAGCCCCCAGCTTCTTCTTACAGTGCTTGGGATCCCTCATTTTCCATGTCCAGTAGCTTTCCTTTAGACTGGCCACCTCGGGAGTCCCTATCTCCGGCCACAGATCGCGCGTTCTTTTGTCCTTTAGCGCGCACGGCTCTGGTGACTTTCCTGACTATCTTCCTGCATCAGCCTCCACAGGCTCTTACACGTGACGGGCAGTCTCGCAGGAAACAGGGGAGCTGCTCTGAGAATAAAGCCAAGGCAGTGGTAATGCCTGCATTTATCCCTGTTCCTGGGCATAGGAATGAGTTGTATCCTGCATTTGCAACTATTTTAATTGACCATTCATTTTACGGATAACAGCAACAGCTTGAACGCCTCTTACCTTTCAGTCAGTAAGGACTCAGCAAATTAATGGTTGCTTTGATTGTTTCTAGGATTAAGTCCTGCAGTTCACTGGCTCTATTGTGTAATGCTAGAGTGAGGCCCAGCTCACTCTATTTGGGTCTTGTTACCCGACTTGTATGTGTGTGTGTGTTCATCTCGTTCTGAACAGGCAGGTTCTGTATTGGTGAGACATGTTAAAAGAAGATCAGAATAGCTTGTATTCATAGGTTTTATTAAGAGATCCAGCACAGGTAATAACATTGCTTCTGTTTGAGGATGTAATTAGAGAAGAACTAAATTCTGCAGAGAAAAGTTGAATGTGGAGAGAAATAAATAGCATGGCAACCTTGAGCTCTTTCTGTGTGCTCAACATCTGATTATACAAATACTTTTTCTTTCCAGGGCCTGTCAAACTCCCATTTCAGTTTAGTAGAATGGGATTTCAGTGGCACTGGTCTCACAGCATCCTCTACTGAAGGCTCTTAAATTACAAATGCAACAGTAAGCCTCATCTGAGAGAAGAAAAGACAGAAACAATATGTGCTCAAGGTCACAGAGGAGTTCTCCAGCACAACTGGGAAAAATTGCCAGAGCTGCGGTGTCCTGATCTTGGTCCTCACTTGCCAGACTTTGTCATTCTGTCCCAAGACAGCACCTGGAGTAAACCCAGCCCTACCTTCAGGGAGAGCAGGCGAGAGGGGATGGGAGGCACCTGTCCTTCAGTTCCCCTTGGTCAATCTGGACCCTTATATCACTCATGTAGTAAACAATCTATTAAAGGGTTCTTCGCTGTACACAAGGATGCCTAGAGGATGACCTGGTGCTATTGTGCTGTAAAGAAGGATGATAAGGAGAACTTGGAGGCCTGTTTTGCAATAGTCTTTGCAGCTCCCCCTGCAAAGGGCTGCCTCCTTTTATGATGAAGGATAATTTATAAATAGCCCTGATTCCGCTACTTGGAGAAAGCTTTTGTTCCTTCCTATACTCGATATACGTGATACTCTGCAGTGGAGAGCAGATGTTTGTACCGGATTCTGCTCGCATGGAAATCGGCCGTAGAAGGCTCAGAGGCAAGGGGTGAAATAGCATCAGGGTTATCTCCTGTCCTCAGCTCAGAGCTCCTATTACAGCCAGTCTGAAAGGCCAGGAGACGCCCTTGGACTCAGCAGCACAGTCTTGAGCGCATGCCTGTGTCTCTGCTGGAGATGAGCATCCTGTTGTTTGCAGAGTCCAGTTACAGCTACAGCTGAAAAAAACCTCTGTCTGCATAAACAGGAATTTTCCTCAATTTCAGGAGCCAGCAGAGGATACCACCTTGTCTCTCTCTCTGAAAGGGCTGAGTAATTCTTTGTTTGTTTTGTTCCTTTGCTGCCTTCTTCCAGCTCCATGACTTTGGTGGCACCTTTGGCAGAAGAACAGTCACTGTCCCTTCCATTTTATCCATATCCACCAGAGGATTTTGTTTTCCAGATTGTCTGCTGCTGCTGAAGCTGTAGCAATAACACTCCTGTATAGCTTTACTTAAGGGAGGGAAGAAACAAAACCACATGACAAATTGGTCCAATTTATCACAGCAACAGAAACCTGCAATTCAGCTGAATCGCCCCCACAGGCCAGCTGAGACAGCCATCAGTATTTAAGGACCTGAGTGACACTGCCTGAGCAGCTCCAGTTCCGCCTCTGCCCCTCCCCTCATCACAGGTGCCCCCAGGTGTGTCACTCCACTGGTGTGGAGGGCACTCCCACACTTCCCCTGGGTGACCAGGGTCTGTCTTCAGCCTACTGGGGAAGGCCTGCTCACTACCCACAGGGGCACAGCCCAGACCTGCTGGGCACAACCGAACTCTGCCCCTTTTTCCTACTTGGCTTGACCACCTGTGCTGCATGTTTATCTCCAAGTAACAGCTCCAAATTTTCAGGGCATGCCTGTGGCACACAGGGAAGTGGGAGCAGGACTAGTCCCATCTCAGTTCACAGTCTCTCCTACAGTCTTTTTTTTTTTTTGGGTGACTGTATAACCCAGAGAGGATTGTTCACCTCATAGCAAGCTGGAGATGGCTTCTGTTCAGCTGTCTATACCTGTTCCTGTTATTCAGGTAGGAGTATTTTATTCCAGAAAGAGCTGCAGTGAAATAAAATGCTAGCAATACGTCCTGCCTATGGTGCACGTGGTGCAGGACTTGAAAAGAGCATGAATCAAGCTATGCCAAATTCCTCCCAGCAAAGGAGCCTGGAGATCTCTTTTGCTGGGCTCAGACTCCAAGCTGGCCACAGCAACTGGCATTTGAGAACATCTCCCAGCTCTGCCTCAGCATGTAGTGGCTCCGTTCTGGCTTGTTCTGCCCGGAACAGTAACAGGAACAAGTGACAGGTTATACAGTTACATATGGCCATAGGCACGTTCCCTCGTGGCTCTTGTGCCTCTGTTTCCCTGGTCTGTAAAATGGAGGTGACTGCAATATCCTGGTGGCAAGCACAAAGTAAAACAAGGCATTTTTGTCAAGGCAGTGGTGAGGCAGAGGAGTTCGGGCTGCTGGATCAGCAACTTTATTTCCTTCAGCAAGACAGCACCTTCTACTAGGCTCTCTGTTCACTTAAAACCCCTCATTATCTAGCAAACTGCACATTCTAAAATGGGACTTCATTATCCACTCCAATGGCAGTGAGTGGCAGAGGGCATTACAATAAATGTCTATTTGGTAAGATGGCTCTCTAATTCACTTTGTATTTAACACTGGCCATGGGGGGTCAGGTCTTTTTGTAAGATACATTCAGCAAAGCCCCTTGGCGACCATCTCCCTGCTCTAAGGAGGTGATTAGAATAGCAGTGGCTGTTCTGTCAAAATAGTTTGGGGCAGAGGGGACAGTGATGTATACAGAGGACTCAGGTATTTAGGAGGGAACAGCTGGCCTGCTGCAGTGCACCCATCCAGAGATGCTGGGCCTTTTCCAGTGTCAGAGCTTGGAAGCTGCTGGGGGACAGTTTCCACCCCCTGGAGTACTTGGTGACTGCCCTGTGGTTGTAGGGCACCTGTCCTGTTATGGGCACGGCTTAAAACTAACAAGAGAGTTGTGCAGAACAAAATGTAACTCAACAGACACATGCGAGTGCCCTAGCAAATACCTAATGGATTGTTCCACCATTTAACTCTCCAAGAAAGGAATCATGAGCCAATTCAAGTGCATTCCAAATCACAGTTCTTTTCAAAAAATTATCAGAGCCCAGCTCTTCCTCCTGGCAGCTGTCCAGTTATTAATTTCAACGTATCAGCTGCAACTGAACGGGCTTGGGCTTCTGCCCACTATTTCTATTTATTTGTTTTCCATTCATCTCCACTGAAATTAAAACTCAAAGCCATCTAGAGAGAATGGAAAACAAACATACTGAAACAATATTGCTGCCCACATAAAACCAACAGAAATCACTGCACTTTTTCCTCCTCTGCAGTGAGGTAAGATCTAATTTTTAAGAATCTCTGTGCCTTTTACCTGAAAAATAGTGCAGGTACCTGTGGCACTAGTGCAGCCTCGAGTTCTTGTTCTGGGCACACCCATAGGCAGGATCCTACTGGAGGTGGTTTACTGTCTTCTGGGCCACAGTGACTGCAGAGGCCCTGGGCTGGAGACCTTTCTGGATTAAACAACTTCTTCATGGTTTAAGACAGAGCCAGATGGTCACACCGAGGCTACAATCCCACATAAGAGTTTGGACTGTGCCCATGCTCCCGTACACTGCATTGGCTGTGGGAAGAACTGCAGGCTTTTAAAGGAAAAAGGCAGCCCAAGGGAGCGCTGGTGACCTGTGAGCCCCAAGGAACATGGGCTGCTGAGGGCTCATGGGTCCATCTGGCAGAGCATCTTCAGTCGAAGGCTTGCCCAGCTGGTGAAGAGGGCTTTAAACTACAGTTGCCAGGGGAGAGGAACCTCCATCCATCCCAGCTTGATGCCAGAGCCAGCAAGAGAAGCCTAGAGTCTGGAGAGGGATCACAAGTGGGCAGAAGAGCACCTGAAGAGCAGCATAAAGGAATTGCAGCCACTCCAGCCAGGAAGTTGGTCTCATCAGGGATCCAACTGGAATGCCCCCGTGCAAATGCACACAGCATGGGGAATAAACAAGAGGAGTTAGAGATATACATATAGCGATATACACACCTGCAGGGCTGTGACCTTATTGACACCACAGAGAAGGGAGGGATGGCTTCTCTGACTGGACTCTTGGAATGGAAGGATTACAGGCTCCCTGGGAAGGACAGGCATGGGAGACAAGGTGGAGTTGTTGCCTTCTATGTCAATGACCAGTTGGAGTGCATGGAGCTCTGGAGATGGATGAGGAGCTGACGGAGTTTATGGGTCAGGATTAAAGGGATGGCAGGGACATTACAGTGGTGTCTGCCACAGGCTGCCCCAAGAGGAAAACCAGACAGATAGAAACAGCCTCACATTCACAAGCCCTGGTCCTCATGGGGTGCTTAAACCACCTCGATACCTGTTAGAGGGACAACACAGCAGGGGACAAGCAATCCAGGAGGTTCCTGAATGCATTGATGATAACTTCCTTCTCCAAGAGATAGAGGAGACAACAAGGAGAGGTGTAGTGCTGTAGCTTCTTCTCACCAAACAAGGAGGGGCTGGTAAGAAATGGATCTCATGGGCAGCCTTGGCTGCAGTGACCATGAAATGGTGGATTTCAAGATCCTAAGGCTGGCAAGGGGGGTGCACAGCAAGCTCACTACCCTGGACTTTAGGAGAGCAGACTGACCTCTTGAGGGACCTGCATGGTAGAGTACCATGGAATAAAGCCCTGGAGGGAAGATGAGCCCAAGAAAGCTGGTTAATATTCAAGGATCACCTTCTTCTCCAAGCTCAGGAGCAACGCATCCCAACAAAAAGGAAGTCAGACAAAAAACACCAGGAGGCCTTCATGGATGAAAATGAAACTCCTGCACAAACTCAAATAAAAGGGAGCTTACAGAAGGTGGAAGCAAGGACAGGTAGCCTGGGAGGAATACAGAGAAAGCACCCAGTCTACCTCGTGCTTGTTTGATTTTGTATTGGTGTCTTGTTTTGTTCTGAACCCATCTTTATTTCAAAGCACATGACTTGATAAAAATGTTTTTCTATAAAAGCCCAGGCTTTTCCAATGTCCTGATTTTTTATGCATCCCAGTGTGAATAAGAACTGAAAAGACAAAGTTTATAAACTTACCTTTAAAGTGATACAAATTACAAAATATTTACAACTACATTTACAACTATAGTATTTAAATCCTATTTGCAACAAGATCAATAGGATCCAACTGTTGATGTACAGGAAGGGATTCTTTCCAAGATAAGTAAAATACACTAAAATGAGGGTTTTTTTCAGTCTTTTTCAAATGTTTTCCTTCCTTAAAAACACACAAAAGTAAGTGCATAGTACAAGGTATGAGTCTGGTTCAATATGGAATTCTTCAGCTTGTTACCTATAAAGATTTTCTTCCACCAATAAAGAGAGTTTCCAGTTCTGTATTTAGGGCCTCGTCAGGAATTACATCATCCTCCATAAACTCATCTCCAAGCTTTTTCCACCATGGCCAGCGAGTGTATTTCAGCATAGTGTTGTGGGATTGTCTTGCCTTGGTAGCTACAGGGACTGATCGACTCACAAAGACACCAATGTCTTTTTCTGTGGTCTCTGCTAACCCTGGAGCATCTGTAAAAACAAGGAGAAAAGTTTTTTATATTTTGTTTGTGGCTTTATGAGTATTTCAAACAAAAAGAGGAGCACTACCCTCCCACTTCCCACTGTCCTAGGTCATCCCTTTCCCCATGCTGGCATTGCAATTTTATGACTGCATGATAAATCTGATTGGAGAGGTGATCCAAATAAAGGCTAATCCAAAAAAATAAATACATAACGGGGTAGAAAGAAGAAGGGGGAAAGCAGGACTACTTCTTTTAGGTGCAGTGGTGGCATCCACCAAAATGACTTCTTGGGTAAGTATGACCTAAGAGGATCTCCTGGTCACTACTGCTGGATCAGTGCTCCTGGCACAGGGTGACATCAGCAGGGTGTTTCCACTGCTCTGGCACAGCAGCACTGAGAATTCCCTGCCTAGGGGACCCAGCACAGTGTAAGAGTGTGTTGCTGATTTGCCTGCTCAGGGAGCAACGAGCTGCAGTGACACAGCACATGACAGACTAAATAATGGAATTCAGTAACGTGCTGAATTCTACCCGGCTTGGGTGCTCTCTGGTGGCTGCAGTTTGCTACTCTTGCTCCTTCACTTTGGGCCACTTGTCTGGAATTAAGATATCACATTAGTGAATTCTGTTTCACATAAAGCCAGGTCAGAGAAAATGAAAACTTGATTTGGAATTCATAGCTCAAAGATTTCCATCCTTATCTGGAAGGGGTTAGAGGACTTCAACCAGCAGCTTACTTACAACACAAGAAAACAAAACAAAGCAAAACAAATGTAGAGGAATAGGTTGTGTGAGATTCCCTTTTTAGAAATTTTAATGCCTTTTACAGGCCCATTGCTTGTAGAAGAATAAGATACTCCTTGAAAAGCAGGTGTATTTAACCTACAGCAACACTTGGATAATCTTTAACAAAGCCTGAATCTCAAGATAAGGCATATGGCAAAGGAAGAAAGATCTTTCAGTTTTGAAATGAGGCTTTACCACTGCTCACTCTAATTTTCCATCTAAATTGGTTTAATCCAAATGGTAATCAAAACTATGATCACAGGCAGTCACATACTCATTAGCAGCTCCACATCAGTGTTGACCTGAGCCAGTAATGTCTCTCTCCTCTGTGCTGCTCTCTGATCCAGCCTGCTCCTCAACAGGAACTGTGCCAGCTTTTCCTGAGCCCGCATATGTAATTCTTTACTCATTTCTTCTGACATTTGGGAAGCCTGAAGGAAAGTAACAGTTTGTTACCATTAGGAGTTAGTTTTTTAAATCTTCCGGGGGTAGAATAATGCCTAAACAAGGAATGCAAATGCTGTTCTTAATTGTTAACTTAATAATTTTGCTTCCCCTGCAACTATCTCCGAAGTTATCCTGCATCAAATATATAAATTTTCCAATTACAGTTTGCTTTGACACTTTTTATTAGATTAATGGTTAAAATCCCCAATATCCTGCTGCCTTGCAGTCAAACAAGCAGAGTTAACACACACATACCTCACATGGATTATCTTGATCAGAATTTATGATGCTGAATTTATTTCATCCCTAGAGTATTTTATGTTGCATCATTAATGCAAATTATGAAATGACTAAGAAACAGACCGGATGCAATTTGATGTAGTCATCCACCTTCTGCTGCAAAGCTAGTCTCTGCTCATCAGTCAGTCCCTTGGGTTCTTTCCAAGGAGAGAGAGGTCTCCTCCTTCTTCGTTTTTCCAAGAATTTACAAGCCTTTGTAAAGAACATATGAGAATATGACAATCACAGACAAGAAGTTTGTCTTCTCACTTTGTTTGTAATCAATCAGTGAAAGAAAAATATTTCCATAATGCATTGTTAAAGCCTAAATGCAGCTGAAAAGACAACATACAAGGTCAGCATGAACACTAAATAGTAAGTAACAACACTCACAATAAGTCACTGACTCATCTGTAGTGTGGTGACATTCCAACCTTAGGTTTTGAAGTAGCAGCTCTTACATTTAAGTTACAAAACTGTATTAGGATTTGTAACCTAGGCAAGGTTTAACCCTTCTAGGCAACTTGTGGCTCTAGACTATCATCTGCTGAGTAATTTTTTGATAACTTATGGCTACATTGACAGTAAGACAATAAACAGTTTTGTGAGGCATCACAATAATCCACTCAGTCCTATCTAATGCTAGAACAAAAGTATATATACTTACTGTTCTCTGAATAATGACAGCTGCTTTATACTCCTTAAGAGATTGTTTCTGTTGATGAAAAATTCTTCTTGCTCTATACCCTCGCCAGAATCTCTGGATAGTTAATGCTGATTTATCCTCCATTTCCTCCATGTATTTATTTACCTGACCTACAAATATAACAAAAATCCAGTTACAAGACTGTGGGTTAGGATCTCTTAACAATTTACATTGTTAATCCTCAAACTAGACAGTACCAAAGCAGCTTGGGTGCTCTCAGTTAAAAAACCCTCTTCCCCAAGGTCCACTAGCTGTGGGTCATGTCTTGCAGACTTGTAGCTGCAATGGAGCTTTGTAACACAAGAAAACGGGCTCTCCCTTTCTCCTGCACCATTCTGAAGGCAGCAGATCTTGATCAGTAGTTACTGAGCCCTGGGGGAATTAGCATGTTCTCTTTCAGATAATTGGGTCAGGAGAAGAGACAGTAAGACTACAGTGCAAACAGACATGCAAGATTAGGACATATATTTGGGGAAAACTGGAGGAGTCCCAGATAGTTTAATCTTCTGCTATAGTTTAATATAAATCATACTGGCATGGACTCTTTCCAGTAAGGCCAGCTGTCGTTCATGGAAGAGTCTCATGGCTCTCTGTCTCTGAAGTTGCATTTGCAGTTTTAGAGCCTCATCTTCCTTCTGTTTTGCTAAGTGTTGCAGCTCCTGTTCCCGTTTAGCTCTGCAATACATAAGTACATGAACAATTACCTTAAGCTGTACATTTCTTTAAAGTACCTCTCTTTCTCTTTGTGTTAAATAGTCCAGCGCTGAGAAAGGAAATCCACAAAATAATCTGCTACCCCAGCTGTTGGCTGCAGAACCACACCAAGCAACGAAAAGTCCCCTTCAAATTAGCCACAAATCTCTTATACCCACAAAAAACTCTGAGCCTATGAAATCAAAGGATAAAATTTTAGTTAGGATAAAGTTCTAAGGACCCTGAAAGGAGCAATGCTCCATGTGGGACATTCACAGCCAGCACAAACTGGAAAAATAATTTTGTTTCCATCATCTGGGGAAGAAGTAAAGCAACATTAGCCATCTGCTCCAGTATGCACCTTTTCCAGTCCATCCATCAGCATGCATGGCACCTGCTTCTTATAATACATACTACTATTTTTCTACTGACTGCAGGAGTAGATCAGAATGTTGGCTGTCAAGCCTCACTTCTTAAATCTGGAGCGATTTTTTTCTCCAGGAAATACAGACTGACATTTTTGCCATCAACTTTGTTAACAGAACACTAGGAAAGAATTTTCTTGCAAATTCTTCCTGATCTGCACTAGATTTGATGTTAAGATGTTGCCCTGCTGTGTCTGGCACTGGAAAAGACTCAGCAGATGTTTCACAGATGAGACAACTGAAAACTCTGCAACTGGCCCTGGAGTGTTTAAGCTAAAAATAGCCTGTACATCAATTATATATATACTAACACATCAATACAGAGACTAATACATAAATACTGGATATATTAATGTATCAATACTAATAATTACTGAGACCACTTCAACATGGTCTCTGTGAAGTATGAAAGAGGAGGTGTGAGCTAGGACTCCCCTTCACTGCCCCTTCTCATCCCAATGGATCCGACCTCATTAGTAGCTTAATGCCTGAGACTTTACGAGTTTACCCCAAAACGAGGTAACAATGTGACTTCTCTGTTCCTACTGCAGCAAAATCACTTGCCCACTCAGAACCTGAGTACCCCAACTGGGCCCACAGCCCTGAGTTCTGCTCTCCTCGAGCACTTTTCCAGGGACATCGAAAGAAGTGCTTTAAGCGTTAGGAAAGAAAACCAATGGACGGAGCACAGGTACAAGGGATGCCTGAAAGGAGAAAAAAAAGCCAGTAGACTAGAACTAATGTACAGTAATTTTGGTATTGCTGCATGTCATATCTTTAGACTCACACTACTGTTGAGATAATTGTGTGTTTCTCATCACTAGTGTAAATTGAGGTGCAACTTTTCCACCAACCATACTTTCTCTCAGTCTCCATAACTGGGTGGGGAAAGATGGGATGGAAGCTGTCGTGTAAAAGAGATGCTCTGGATTTAAAGATCTGACCCTAACTGAAAACCCTCCACCACAACCTGACACACCATAATCCCTCTACAACTGTAACAAAGACTTGAAGTGTGCCCACACACCAACCTACAGAAACAGATCATGATACATGTGATTATATCACAATGGTTTCAAGGAAACAAGAGGTTTTCAGCCCATGCATTTCTGCAAATTAGAGCTGTAAATATTTACATTTTTAATCCAGGAAATTAATGTTTTAATCCAAATATTATATTTCTACAGTAAATGAAGTTACAGCATCAAACAGGACTTTTGATGGCATTTTCTTGATAAAACTATTAATATTTTCCCCATAGATTTTTATCAGCCTCATTAGGTTGAAAACTACAAGAATATTTAATGAACTTTTCAGATGCACCTTTGTGAAACTACCAATAGTGTCTGTCAGGTATTTAAATGTTTCTTTGATACTGATTCTTTCCCATGTAGTCTGCAAAACACATGCTCTTCTTCATTCTCTGTTCCTCCTAATGAAAAGATGCATTTGCTTGCATAAGAGCACACTGTGACAGGGAAATGCCTCTGAACAGAAGTAAAACATACACAGAGTAAGATCCAAGCTTCCTTCAGCAGTTCATGGCAGAGATCAGCCTTGCTCTGATCATCTCTTTATATATATAAAATGGTTTCATTTTTCCTGCATAACTAACACAAATTCTTGCCATTTTAAGAGTCTTACAACTAGCTACATAACAGTGAACTAACTTCAAGGACAGATTACAGGCTCTAATATTCACTGGGGAGACATTTCTGAAACCATAGTTTCAGAAGTTTATAACTTGCAGAGTTTAAATCTTCCACTGCAGCTGCAGGTGAGCCAAGTTTGGAGTTTAAGCCTCTGCAGTATTTAACCACACTTGTTCTAAAATAAATCTGTGAATATAACCAGAACTTGACTGTTAAAAATTAAAAAGTCCTCTTGAAGGTTCTTCCAAAGTCATGCTTGCAGTATTCCAAACACTATTTTTCAGCATAATGCTAGCAGCAGTTTTGACCCAGACAGAAGAAAACCAACACTGGAGCTGCACAGTTACTGTATTTGCTCAGTACACTGGGACTGACTGAGCCATGAACACACAACTTTAAGGATATTAATAATTTTCCATTCCTCTCAATATTAAACACTTTCAAAAGTCCACTTAAATGATTCAAGAACTACTTAAGAGGCACACACTAATGCTTGCAATATTGAAAATACGACACAAGGCAGTCAAGCAGCTTGTTGATTGCTGATAGCCTTGTCACACTTTCCCTTCTGCTTTACCATGTTATGTCTTGGCCCAACATCCAAATTTCCTGGGCTATGAGTTTGGCTTGCAGGCTTGCAAGGTGCCTGATGAGAGCAGGAATATTGGCTTGAAGTGTATGGTGGAGTAAAAAGGAGCAACAAGGTGTCATTCTTGGTGTTTCAGTACAAAAGCTGCAGTGACTAGTGGCCCTCAACAAACACACAATGTGCCCCTGCAAATCTTCCAAAAGTTAAAGAGTACACCTCAGATAATCCAATATCTTCTTAATGCCAATCTAGACAACAACAAATCATAACTGTTTTCTATCACCTTGGTCACAATGCAATGTAATTTGACATTCATATCTTGGTATAGTTTTGACATGGCAATGCTCAACGGGTAAAAAAAAAGTTTGAAAAAAACCTGGTGTAGAGTCTGAACCTGATTTAGATCCATTAACCTATATTAAATTCACACTAAATTTCTCAAAAGAGTTAGCCTAACATGTGCTAACATTACTGCTGAAATCTTACTTCAAGTGAGACAAGCATTATTTACACAGCTTCATTCTTCTGTGCTGCTCCAAGGCAGAGGATACTATCTAGGTCACTGAAACTACTCCACTTCCAAGAGTCAAAGATTTCAAAAATTAATGAAGAACAAGGTCTTGCAATCACCATACTGAGCAAGCACTATGGGCTTTTGTTTCTGCAGCACTCTGGCATGTGGAAACTCTGGGACAGCTTCACATATAATTTACAGTGCAATTTTGTGTCAAGTTAACCGTGAATCAGTTAACTGTTCTACCACCAGTACATCATCTTCTAGTGCTATTTAGTGCAATCCCATGCTACAGTGTGCCACACTTTCAGTTTTCCATATGCCACAAATTTTTACATAGGAAACATAAAAGCATCACAGAAGTAAGTTTTTTCATGGAGAAGTCTGGCAGCTGGGAAAGGGACAGTTGGAGATTTTGGCACCAGAAGTGGCAGTTTGGTACTGCTGGAAAAGCACATTGTTTGGATGTTTCTGCTAAAAGAATCTGTAGTGAAACAGCTCATATTGGCATTACATTACCTTTATGTTTTAGAAATAACAGCTGACTGGAAAAAGCCATCTTCAAGATGAAGGAATACTTGGTCAGCCCAAACTCAGGGCCTGCGATATGGAAACAAACTCTCAGGGAAGGTATTTCCAGCAAGGATGGGAAGGTGAATGGGAATAGCGAGCACAGATTTATCACAGGCAAATCATGTTTGACCAGCTAGATCGCATTCTGTGATGAGATGACTGGCTCTGCAGATGAGGGGAGAGCACTGGATGTCATTGTCCTTGACTTTATCAAAGCTGTCATCACAATCTCCCATGCAGGGCAGGGCTGGCACTCAGAGAAACCTCCACAAACACATAAAATGGGTCAACAGAAACCACATGAAGTTTAAATGGGAAGTTCTACACCTGGTACCAAACAACCTCATGAATCAGTACAAGCTGGGCACTGACTACCTGGGCAGCAGCTCCAATGAAAAGGACCTGGGGTTCCTGGTGGGATTACAGGCTGAACACGAGCCAGGAGCATGCCCTTGCAGGGCATACTGGGCTGCACTAGCACAAGCAGAGGCAGCAATCAAAGATGATTATTTGGCTTTACTCAGCACTCTCGAGGGCATATCTGCAATACTGGTCACACTCTGCTGGGACCCCCAGTGGCAGACAAGATACTGACAAAAGGGAGGGATAGACACTGTCCAAACAGAGACAATCAGGGCTATGGAAGGTAGGATATACAAGGACAGGTGAGGTTTATTTAGCCAAAAGGAAAGCAAATCTAATTTCTGTCTTCCATTTCCTAAGTGTTATAGAGCAGACACATCCAGATCATGGAAGTGGTCAGAAAAAGGACAGGAGGCAGTGGTAAGGAGTGCAACAAGGAAATTCCCACTGGCTGTAATGGAAGAATTCTTCACAAGGCAAATCATCCAGCACCAGAAAAGTGGCCAAGTGAAATGGTGGGATCTCCACCCTTGGAGACCTCCAGAACTGGATATGGCCCTGAGCAGACAGATTCTATTTTGAGGCTGGGCCTATTTCAACCAGGACATTGAATTAGATGACCTGAATTTTTCCTGTCAGTCTGTGAACTGAGAAAACCCAACCCAAACCTTTTTACTAGACTCCACTCCTTATTGTTTTTCACAAAGCCATAGTGTTTACCTGAAGCTTCTCTGTAATGTGGTCACTGCTTGGGGTAGCTTTTTCAGCCTTCTCCTTGTCTGAAATCCTCTCCACGTAGCCTGGATTATACATGCTGCTTGATGCTGCTTCTGAAATAAAACAGTCTGTAGAATATTTTCTATGCATAAAAATTATGCCTCCATAATTGGACAATGTCAACATTTGGCTAAAACCCACCAGTTTTCAAATGCATCGAATTCACTGTTTGTACAGCTTGGGGAATTTAAGGTCTTGTTAGACAGTTATTATCACAAACCCCATATTTGCCCCAAAGGCAGCTCATCTGATCCCCTGTACTGATGCTTTCTGTGGCAAACAAATGAATCTACAGAACAAACATATATATAATCGATGTTAGAAATTTGCCTTTAAAACACCTGAAGCACTTGGCATTTCAAATGGTGATTCAATCAAAACACCTACTCTAGAGAGGACAGAAAGATAAGTTTGGAGAATTAACGGCAGGAAAAATGTTACATTTGAAGTATGATCAGGAGTCACTGAAATGCAAACATGAAAAAGAAAATCAATTCTATTCTTAAACAAACTAAAAAAAAAAACACAAACCAACCCAAACACAAACCACCTTGCTCTGTTGCAGATGAAAGCAAATCTCTACAAACACAACTCTGATTTCTTTAAAGTATTGTCTCTGAGAAACCTGCATGTAAAATTTTTTTAAGAAGCTCATAAAACACATCATCCCTTTTATTGGGAACACAGCCCAGGTGGTGTTCTTACTGCATATTTTCTCTATATGACTTAATTCTATGTGAACGTTGCTTAGAATTCAGAGATCTAAATTTGTAACACTGATGTGAGAAACTCAGACAGAGTTATTTTTATTTTATGATTAGCAAAAAAATTAATTCTTTTTCCCCTAAGATTGTATTGAAATCTATGGTGAATCTACAAAGAAAGCCAATCTCTCGAGTCATAGTCTCATATCCAATTATTATGCAATTTCTTGATGTTTTCAAAAAAAAGAAAAAAATAATAAATATGAAATTTAAAAATCCATAGTGAAAAATTGAAGTGTCAGGGAAGCGATAGAGTAAATCCATTCTAAACATATACAAATCACATATAACTAGGATTTCACATAAAAAAGTCTAATCAAACTTTATCACCTGCATTTCTCCTTTTCCACTGGATTGTTCCAAATATAGCATGTCCAAGAGCTGATTGAGCTCCCTGTCAAATCCTTTGCCAGTCCACTGTTTATTTAAAAGCCCTTTTAATCCTAAGGGAAAGAGAAACAGCATGTGATAGCAGTAGGTGAATGTTTCTTTTCAGGATTTCAAAGTAACGAACTGGAGTCAACAAATAAAATCTGATTCTATGTTCAAAGGAACACTAGAGCTGAACACCATTGGCCACCTTTGAGTTTCAATGCAGAATATTATCAAAGAATATCTGGTGCTCCAACCATCACAGAGAAGTATTATCCAGTGATTTTGTATGTCTGAATAAGTATTGTGTCTACATAATGGGCAGTTAAATTATCAGTGTACTTTCAGTGTCTTAACAGTAAGTCATTGTAAGGTACTAAAAGAATGTAAAGCACCACAAAAGTGCAGAGTGTTATTAGCACTATTTTCGTATTTTTCATAATAAAATTTATTTATTTATAACTGGAATTGTTCGATGTCTTATCTGCATAACACAGTCTGTGAGTACATGTGCATCCAATTCATGAGACAAAGTAGCTTTTTGGGTTTGCAGTAGCTAAAAATCACACTTGTGCTCCCCCCACAAGGCACACACACTCCCTGTGCAAGTACACAGTAACACATGTTAAAAGCTTTGTATCAGACAAATCCCAGAGCCCAAGAGCTCTGAGGGGAGTTGCAGGAAAGAGGAAGGAGGGCAGGAAGCAGGCACATGTTTGATAGCCTCCTGAAGAACTGCAGATTCAAGTAACTTTTCCATCTTCAAATCACTGTAAGCATATTCATACACTAGGGAATTCCAACACTCATATACAGGATCTGGATATGGAGCACCAAGTCCTCCATGCAAACAGAAATGACACCTCTGTGGCACCCTATGCACCATTTTCAAAAAATTATGACAGTTAAACACTTGAGGAGAGACACAGGTGAGATTCTAAATGGAGTTAGTTGGTGCCCTAAGGCTGCCTACAAAAGCAAGTAGTCTGGCTACACAAGGCAGCTCCCTCACAGAAGTGCTGTGGGTCTGACACAACCATTGGCCAGTCTCTGTACAGACTACACAGCCGATGCACCTTCCAGCCACTGCCAGGGAGTACCTGGCGTTTGCCTCAGATGTGTCAACCCATGCAGATAAAAAGACCAGGCCTTCCTGGAAACCTGATGTAAAGACTGTGCTAGTCTTGGGTTCAGGTGATGTCCTCACCTTGGGCAGGCTGCTTCCATTGGCAAAGCTTACACTGAAGCACCTCACACTGGTAATGGCTCTGAGCCACTGAGAAGCCAAGTGACTTCAGTGAGATGGCCAGATGGTGGAAATGCTGTGATGCTTTCTTTGTTGCTGCTATTCCTCAAACTATCTTAAAGGATTCCAAATCTGAGTGAAAACTAACATAAGGATTCTAACTTTAAAAAAAAAAGTAAAGGAAAAAAGCAATTTTTTTTCATTTCTTAGTGGAAAGACAAAATGCACAGAAGGGACATGAGGAGTTTCTAAATGACTGTGGCATATTGTGATTCTAGAGTAAAACAAAGCATCATCTTTTGATGGAGACTTGCACCTCTTCAGACAAGCCAGCATTCTACAACTGGGATGATCAGACCATCACAACAGCTTCACAAGGATCCACAATGTGATACCAGCCTTAGGCTCATTATATTTCATTTCAAACCAAAAGGAAGCCCTCGCCTCTCAAGCAAAACAGTAGCAAAGCTGCCCATCTGGTCCAGAAATCTTCCTGGCTGGTACTGCCTAATAAGTAATCAGCACAAGTGTAAAAAATTGGAATTGAACATTTTTGTCTACTATTCCCATTTTTTACTGTCCTTGTCCCGAAAGGACTGAGGCTGCCCATGAGTAGTTTTGACCAACAACATAAAAGACCTGGCAAACATCAAAGCCTCTTCCTTATTCACCACAGGCATGACAGAGGACAAAAGGGCTTCCTGGAACTCCCTGCCAGGCTAGAGACAGAAACATTGAATGGGACACCTCATTAAAGAATGAACAACAGAGCAGATTATACACATATGCAGCCTCCTCATCTAAAGGCATCAAGACAAAATGATAAACTCATTACATGAATTCTTGGAAAGAATTCATTCCAATTACTTGGATATCAAAAGACAGTCAGCTCCTCAATAACAGAACAGCATCTATCAGATGAGCAGACCTGTAACACCCAGGGTCAGAAGTTCACTTTGAGTAAAACTCAAAGCACAGTGGCAGATGTCTGACAGGGCTCTGACTGTGGCAGTACAGACACTCTGCTACTGGGATCCCTCAGTAACCAACCTGCACAGGGAAACAGGAAGAAGTAAAGCCCATCAAGCTGGAAGTGACAAACAACAGGTTTAAAAGACAAGTTACCACATGCAGAGTCCACAGAAGAAGATAAATCTAGGAAACAGAAAGGGGCACAGTATCTTAAACTACAACAAAAATGAACAGAAGAGAAGGAGAAAAAAGCCCCAAAAGCAACACAGAACTGCAGTTTCCACCTGTACTGGATAGTTATTGAACCAAGATGGGAAACCTTCATCTTTGTATTCTCACAGTGACTTAACTCCTTGCAGAAGGCTGAGCCATGGGTCCCATGTATGTTTACAAACCTTTGTAGCGAGCTGTGAGTAACCGCACGAGCTGTTTGCTCAGTTTTGCCACCACCAACAGCAGTTTTGTGGCAGCACTTCCAACAGCAGGATTGGTGGTAGATGAAAGCTTATAAACAAGTTCATCCAAAATAGAGTGAAGGGTCGCTTTATCAACTTGAAGGAAGACAGAACTTGAAAAAGAAGAAAGGAAAAAAAAGGGGAAGGGGGACAGAAGTGTTAATTAAAAAGCATGAGATTTTTAACAGTGATTATTTTTAGATATGTCAGGCCATATAGCAAGCCAACATGCCCAGCTAGCTGGGCCAGCAACCTGATCCAAGCAGTACTACTGTTTCAATCAACCAATTCCCATTCTCTCAATTTAACCAGATAAAACCTCCAGCTTTTTACTTTTTTTTTTATTTCTACAACAAAGACTAGGGAAAAAAAACCCAAACAAGAAAACAAAACAATTCTTGTATATGAATAATATATATATTAAATATATAATATATATATAAAATTTATTTTATCAAGTGGTAATGAATTGAGTTTAAAATTTATAATTCAGAAAAATAATTATATGAAAACAACTGACCTATTGATCCTCAAAATATTGTGTAAAACAGACATCATTATAATTGCTGTTTCAACATCATCTGTTATTAACAACTGCAGGAAGCAATCATTTTGCAGTACTGCAAAAAAACCAAAAACAAGCAAACAAGAAATTACGCAATCAGAACCAGACATGAAAATACCATAAACCAAATAAACTTCATTATGGAACACAAGCCATAACAAGTAAAACCAGATACTGTTTCTGGAACAAACTCCCTCATTTATAATTTTTACACTGGATGGAACTTACTGAAATACGTAAACTACTTCAAGATCCAAAAAACATGATGAACCCTGTTTTTTCTGCCTTTGGATATCCCCCAGGCCCTGATGTTGCAATGGAATAAAAGCTTCAAAACCTTTTATGTTACACTAGTACCAGTTTCTTATTACAACAGCAGAATTATCACTGGGGCAACAATATCCAAAAAAGATAAGGACTTCAACCTTGACAGTTTGTTACACCAGGTTATTTAATCCAAGTCCACTGATGTCATTAAAGCACCATCTTTTTTATGACAGTGTATCACTGTCTACGTAGTCAGCAATTTTTCTGACATGTGTGTTTTTACATCTTATGATCCTTTTGTTTTTGTTCTGTACTAGAAAGAAAAACAAATTCTGCTTTTAAAAATCATCATTATTAACATTGGTTTAATTGAAAGCTTATTTTGGTCAGAAATGTATAGTGAAGTTTCTTAGGTATTTGTAAAGTTTCCTGGCATGGCAAGAACTTCAGAAATCTGTTTCCAACTCTAACCACTCCTCAGGGCCAGCAATGTACTCTAGTCAAATTTCTGCATATTTTAATCACACACAGGAAAAGACCAACTGTCTCTTATTGGGAAAAAAATTAATTTTAAAGGTATAGAATTACAATGGGAAATTGCAGTTTTAGAATTAGAAGGAAGACACTTCTAATGTTTGTCTCTGGAAGACTAGAAGGGGAACTCTTGAGTATTTCCCTTTAGTGGATCTTTTCCATTTTAGATATTGCTGTTGAGCTGAATACTTTAAGAGACTGATTTACCATCTACTTCAATGTAGAAGACTGGGTGGATACTAGCTTAAGAGTGATTCTTGATACATGTATTTCCCATAAATAAATGTTCAGGTGTTTTATAGGTTGACATTTCCCTTACCACATGCTGCTAGTTGAATATGCCCATGGAACAGCCAGCAGATGGCATTGGTTACTGTTTGGAACCAGTGTAAAAAATCTTGTTTTTCTTTATCCTAAACAAAAGAGAAGTAGGTAAAAACATGTGTATGTATCTTCTGATGCCTTAAGCCCCTAATGGTTTTTTTTATTTTATTTTTCTAATATTGGTAAGCCTTATAAGTTTTATAAGTAGATTTTGAAAGCAGCAACCCTCCCTCCCTTGTCCCTTTCCCTACTGGATTCGGGGGTAGGAGTGATATAGGGAGCATAGAATGGGGTAAGAGGGTTAAGGAATGTGTAAACTAAGGGTGCTAGAGGGAAAGGGAGAAGGGAGGGAGGGTTGCTGCTTTTAAAATCTACTTTTAAAACTTATAAGGCTTACCAATATTAGAAAAATAAAAAAAAAACATTAGGGGCTTAAGGCATCACTTCACTTAGGACTTCAGCTTGACGTAGTGGGAAGCTTTGTATGCCTCAGGAATTTGGAGACCAAAACTCCACCAAATTCCCAAATGAGGTCAGTGAAACTGTAGGAATGAGTCATAAAAAACCCCAACTTGTGAGTTCTTCGAGGTCAGAGATCAGTCAATAAGACCTTAACATACTAAAAACGTAAAAGCACCCATTTGTGAAAAATTCGTAATAAGGAGAGAGAAGTCTTGTTTACTTCTTAAAAAATATTTGATAGCATAGGAAGGATAAGAAGACAAAAATAGCTCAGTAAAAATGCATCACATTTCCCACAAAGTGGGAAATACATTACTTAATATTAAAGAAGAGGGGGAAAAAAAAAGGTACAAAGTGGCCAAGGACACAGTTAAAATGGAAAAGGTTCCCAAAAAACTGGTTTGGTGAAGCTTTAGAAGCACTTCATAGTTGGAGATCTGGGAGCAAACACCAAACCACTATTAAGTTGAAATTTGATCCCCTTGCCAAATAAAGACATTATGTGCCTGCCTGTGATAACACTGGACTGGAAAAAAACACAGAATCAATCACAGAATGGTTGGGATGGAATGGACCTTAAAGATCATCTAGTTCCAACCCCCTTGTCATGAGCTGGGACACGTTCCACTAGACCAGGTTGCTCAGAGCCCCATCCAACCGAGCCCTGAACACTTTCAGGGACTGGGCATCCACAGCTTCTCTGGGCAACTTGTTCCAGTGTTTTACCACCTTGATAGTAGATAATTTCTTCCCAATATCTAATGTAAACCTCCCTCTTTCAGTGTCACATCCATCACCCCTTGTCCTGTCACTACATGCCCCTGTAAAAAGTCCCTCTCCAGCTTTCCTGTAGCCCCTTTAGGTGCTGGGAGGTGATATAAGGTCTCCTCAGGGACTTCTTCATGCTGAACAACCTCCCATCTCTCTCAGCCTCTCTTCACAGAAGAGGTGCTCCAGCACTCTGCCATGACCAGAAGGAATTTAGGTTTTAACATGTGAATGCACATACAGATGCACAGTCTAGAGTCTGTATTCCAGGTGTGAGCTACAGGCCACTGGAAATATAGAATCTTGGGGCAGGGGGGACTGCAAAGGAGCTTTTGATAGTACTACATTGCTGACAAATGTTGTTATAAAACCTATCTCCCACATTACTTGAGCCTCCACAAATAAAACTATGGAAAGCCTAGTCCCTAGATCCGTGCTGTAAACCCCAGCCGTCAGTCAAAGTTTAACTCTGTATTTGATCCTTACTGACACGGAGAAATACAAAATAACAGTGATAAGTTAACATGTAATGTTATCTGTTCTGTGTTTTGGCAACATGACAGTTTCTGAAAGCTATTTCAGTACTTCCCTTGACTTCAAAGACTTGTACAAAAAGCAAATGAGGGCAGAATAAACTACAAATCCTCACTGGTACAGTGGGATTTCCAAAATTCCACTGAGCAAGCACCAAGTCTGGGTGCCCAGTCACCTCTGAGACCACAAAGTTTAAAAGACAAAGTACTAATTACAATGAAGACTGCATTTGCATTCAAAAGAAATCTTTGCCCACAAGCATGACTCAAGTAGCATGTAGGCTGAGACATAATAAGAAAGTGTGGGGGAAATTACATATTGCGGATAAGACTTGAGTCTCCTGGGATGTCTTTCAGGACAGTGCTTCCTTCTTAAGAACCAAATGCACTTCTCAAGCATTGGACTAACAGAAAAGATGTTACTGATGCTTTCTGAGAATTGATTGTGGTGTCTATCAGAACACTTTGTAGGAAAACTTTGACTAAGTGCAAGAAGCCAGTGAGCCAAAAAATTAGATAATATGGGAAAACGGGAAAATGTCAGAATCCACGAGGTTGGTTATTTAAATTACTCATGGGTTTCATTTGTTGAGCTTTTTTCTCCTGATTCTAGAACTCAGAATGCTTCAGAAGCATGAGGGAACCTAACTGGGTAAGCCCTTCTTCTCTGCAAAGAGGGGAGAGAAATGTGAGAAAGTGTCTAAATTTATAAATTCAAAAAGTCTGCCTTTAGCATTCCCAATGTGTAAGTTCAGAAGCAGTGAGCATTCTTGGAATTTTTTTGCCAATTTTACAGCAGAAATTCTATGGCAAAACAAACTTCAACAATTCTGATTTAAAATCTTAAGACTTCCTAAACCATTTTTTGTAAAGCTGAATAAAAGCAGTGGGAACTGAGTGGTTACAAAGGCTGACCTAATGATATGCAAAATTAAGATGCTACCGTGACTGGGATGCTGCCTTCTGTAAGGCTTTTTCTCCCCCCTTATACTGCTCTCATTCTTCAAACCTACTTATAATTGCAATCCTTCCCTCTACCTTTAAAACCTGTGAAAAGTAGTAGACAAACTTTCTAAACAGGCCTATGGTAACAAACTGGCTTTGCACAAGTCATGGACCAAATGCTTCCCAATGACAGATTTCAGTTTCAAAGCTCCAAGGCATAAGAAAAACAACTGTGATTTCTGGAAAATAATTTTTTATAATACAGTGTCCCTAGAATAATATTCTACTTATCCAATACATGACCTTGGAAAGCTTACAGAGGTTCTCTGCTCTTTTAACTATGAAATTTAAATACCTTGATTGCTCGGATAAATCTCGCCTGCAAGCGTTTTCCCAAGACCAGCAGGTTGTCTATGGCTGAAGGAAGAAACTTCTCGTAAAATTCCTCAGGATCTTCTTTCATCTCTAGTCCTACACAACAATGACTGAAATGGAAAAAAAAAAAAAAAAGAAGAAAAAACCATCAACCTGAATAGTCAAAGGCCTGTTTGAACAGCTTTGAATGAATGTCACGTCATCAGAGAAGAAATGCTTCACTGGCATGGGACAATTCACCACTGAACAACAGCTCACTGCTGTGACTGGCTCCAAGGTGGCTGCCTCCAAAAGAAGAGGAATCACTGGCAGGCTGGAGACCATACTACTACTTATGGCATTTCTCAGCTTAAAACATATCCAAGGCACTTTCTCCTTTGACTTCAAAGGATCTGTTCAGGCTTGTTCCATATGCTAGGGAAGGGCTCTGATGGTCATGAAGAAGGAAAAAAAAAAAAAAGGCAAAACAGATGAGTAGACAAAAAATTGATAAAGGAAGACTGATATGAAGGGGGTGCACATCAGGCAATGAAAATATGTATAAAACCCCCTATTATTTATCACAAAACCTTCAGCAACCCTGTCTAAAACCTTTTGCTAGCTGAGGAAGACATGTGGGCTAGAAATCAGTTCCTCAGATCTCAGCTCTTATTTTACTCACCGCAAACACATCGGTTGTTTCTGGAAGACTTTTTACAAGAAACTGCATGTTTTATAACCGGGAAGTTTTTCAGTTCTGCACTCAGCACAGATACCAGTGCAACAAAAGAGTCTTCATGATTTCTTACGAATTTTGCTTTCTGACATTTTATCCAGGCTTTGTTAGCTTTTTAGGAATGCACAAACGTAAAGCTTTGTTTACCAAGGCCCTTGGAAAGTAAATTCTAGGCATGAAGCTGAGATTCATCCAGTTACAAAAGGACATTTTTACAGCTAGAATAAATTTCACTATTGTGTGCAAACTGAAATAGTTTATAGGGGATGATTTAAGTATCACACTACTCTAGTGATAAATCTTGCATTCTCTTACTGAAATTCCTTGCATTAAAAATTCATACTGCAGATACGGCATAAATAAGAGATGGTTGCCTAATTACTTCGTGCCTTAGAATTTTGCTCCCTAGTTAAGCCAAAACCACATACAACTTGAGAAAAATTTAAAATTTATTATTTTTCCTAACATTTAAAATTGAGATTGGATCACTGTGGATTTGAGTTTAAAGTTTTCTTATTTACTAGCTATGAATTAAATTTAACAATGCCATCCTCACAATATCACTACATGGGGTTATCTAGTTTATGTGAACCCTGTCATCTATTATATTAAAAATAGTAAACAGGTACTTAAAATAGCTATATTAAATAGACACTTAAATGTAGCCAAGCTAAGCTGTGAGTCAATCAGGTCAAAGATGAAATCTAAGCAAACAAGCCTTTTTAAATATCTACAATTCAGAATTAGCAATTACCGGATAAGAACTGTTGCACTGATGAGTACTGTCCACAAAAAAAGGGGTAAAGCCAACACAGACCCTGTTCCCACCACACAGTTTACCCAGCTCAGTGACACACAACGTGAATGAATTAAACAGGACCAATTAGGCTATGCCTGACCCCTCCGCTCTTGACTGCTCCCTGCACTTTAACCCTGGCCTTTTCTGAACAGCGAGCCTTGTTCTGGATGGGAGCCAATGTATTGCAGCTTGAAAAGAAAAAGAGCAAGATGAAAGGACCAAAAGAAAACTAGAAGAAAACTTCTTAGCTTGTTTTTTTTTTTTTTTTTTTTACCTTAGTATCTCTGCTAGCTGGGCAGCAGTGGCCCAGCCTCCCCGCAGTCGAGAGTGGTCTTGCCTAAGGACCAGCAAGCAGTACTGAGTAAGACCATAATCATATATATCTTGCTTAATTTTTTTTGATTCTTCACATCCCAAGGAAGGGCTACTTAAAACTCCTGTGAGATGAAAGCAGGAGAGAGACAAAGATGAGCATAAGATTCTGATGTGCAAGATTTTTCTTTTCGTTTACTAAAACATAAGGAGAGTATATGCACACAGAGCCAGGATTAAAGTAGTTGTAAGAGTGCTAACAACTTCATAAAGTATTTTGTCAGCATTTTTTGCTCCTGCAGCTACAAACCATTTGTCAGATTATATGACAATCGGGAAGGATCGCTAAACTTAGGTTACCATTTTCTCTCTACACATTTAGTAGCAAAACATACATTACCTGGGATATGGCCCATTTGTATGAATTTCCTGAGCCACATAAAACCACAACCACTGGGAAACATATAGCTTCCTTATAATTACATCCCAATTTAGAACAGGACCTGACTTGTTCCAACCATTCCTAAGAGCAGTGGCTGTGTGGCAGAAGGGGAGTCACACAGGAGCTCATGATTACACTTCTGTGTTAAGACTTAAACACTGAATACTGAGGACCACTCTGGTTCTCTGCCCAAAATCACTGGGAGAAATGATTTGACCAAGTATAAGATTCCTGCCCACATCAGCAGGACAAGGGCTCACATCATCGGGGTGACAGCTGAGAGGCAGGAAAAACTCCTGTCCATTTGCTCCCCAGCTCCTCCTCCTTACTGTTGCCAAGCCAAACGCCACTCAATGTCACTCTCAGGAAAAGCTGCATTGTCAACCTTACAGAGTCTCCAGCCATGCTAGAAATATTCAGAAAAACCTTCAGTATTTAAGGAGGCAGAAGAGAGAACGACTGTCCATAGCTCGCCAGCCCATCCTTTTATTTTAGGAAAGGTATTAATTACCCTTTAACTTCAGCAGCAGCAGGGGGATGTCCTGTTCCCCGCTCTCAGTGACCTGAGCAGCCAAGGCCAGAACCTGGGGGTCCGCAGCTGCCATGGGGAGCAGCCACAGGCGCGCACCACCAGCGATTCCAGCCTCTTTCCTCCCTAATTGTGGCGGTGCAGGCGTGGGGTCCTTACGCCACTACCTCCATCCCACCTCCAGCTCCTGCACCACCGGCTGGAAGCCTCGGGCCGCCCGTCTCCCCCTGGGGAAGGAAATAAACATGGAGGGAGCCCCGACCGCGCTGCCTCCCCAGGCCGCGGGCGGCCGGACCGGCTCTGCCGGCAGCGCGGGGCTCCGGCCGGGCGGCCCGAGCGCGGCCCCGCGGGGCGGGCAGCGGCCGCACCTCAGCCTCGGCCGGGGGAGGGAGCGAGGGAGCGGTGCCCTCTCCCACCGGCGTCACCCTGGAGCCCCCACGGCCCCCGGGAGCGGCGGCGCCGGTGCCGCGAACCCCCGCACCGCGGGGCCCCCTCAGGCGCTCTGAGAGGACCCTCCGCACACGCCAGGCCCCTCTCACCGCCGCGCGGGGGCTCCCCCACTGCGGGGGGGCAAGGGGGGGATCGGAACGCCGGACCCGCCGTCTCCAACGCGACCGCTCCCCCGCGCCCCCCTCCCCGCACAGCTGCGTGGTCGCGGCCGCTCTCCGCCAACCAGCACTCTCCCCTGAGGGAGGAGGGGGTCATTTGCATATCCGCGTGCAGGCCGGCGCCTCCGACAGCGCCATTGGTGAAAATCTACAGAGGGGCGCCCCCGCTGTCCAATCCGAGCCCGGGCAGGGCGGGGCTGGGGCGGCGATAACCTATGGGAGGCGGCGTGGGCGGGGCCCGCGGGCCCGGCGGTGTGAGGGATGCTCGGTGCGGGCGGCGGCGGCGGCCCCGGGGCCCGCCATGGTGTGAGGCGCCGCCGCGATGAACGGAGCGGTCCCGTCGCTCTACGACCCCAAGGCGCGGGTGCTGAACCTGGGAGAGAGCTTCGAGAAGCAGCCGCGCTGCGCCTTCCACACTGTCCGCTGTGAGTGCTGGGGTAGCCCCTCAGGGGGCCGGGGAGGGGGCTCGGCTGTTTGTCCTCGCAGTGCTCTGAGGGACGGGGGTGGCTGCGGCCCGGCCTAGCCTTGCCGGCCCGATGGCTGCCTTCATCCCGGGATTCGGGGCTGCAGCTGGGAGCTGAGTGCCGTGCGGTGCTGGTCCGGGGTTTCGGGACCAGTGCGGTGCAGTTTTCAGTCGGTGCTGGAGCACGAACGGCCATTGTATCGCAGAGCTGCCCCTCGCCACCCTCTGGGCACTAACTTCGCTTTTCATGCCTTTTCCACAGTGTCTCCCTGAGGTTCTGCTGGAAGCCGAGCTGAGCAGAAGCTCTGGCTCTGCCCTCTTCCCTTGCGCCGAGTTTTCAGAAGTTCCGTACCATTCAGCAATCAAAGGTTACAGGCAGGCAGCGTTAATCACGGAGCCAGTGCACCCTCCCTGAGTACATAATTACTATCTAGAGAGGTGTGTGCTCAAAGATTCTGAGGGTAGCTAGGAAACAAATGCTCCCAGGATTATAGTCCTGGTAATTTAGGACTGCTGCTTCTGGTTTTGTTGTCTGGTTATTTATATACTGATCCCCAAGATTCAGTCCTGCGTATGTTCTCTGGAGGGTGTCCTGTGTGTGAGAGGGTCAATTTGCTCCTTGTGAGCAAAAGGGAATGGCGTTTACAAAGGATTGTCTGCGACTGTGGAAGGGGAAAAACCTATAAATGAATTTAAACAAGTGCTGCAGCTTGAAATTTGCCCTAATTTTAAAAAGGACTAACCACCACATCTGGTACCTCCTACCCCTACAGTTTCTTGCTGACTCTTGTAATTTGATGATTTGTTCTGAAATCTGTTTTGAAATCTCTCTTCCTTTCCAACAAATGAGACATAGAAACTGGCACGTTCTCCAGTTCTATCAAAAGCACATGCAGAAATATCCTCGGACACCTGACGTTTTTGTTAATAAAAAAAGCTGGTTAGAAGTTAAGCTGGTTAGACAACAGCTGGTTAGAAGTTGAGATCGGAAGTATCAGTACCTTAATTTTCTCAGGTATTAACAGTCCAATAGCCGTGTCCTAAATAAAGCAAAGATTCTCTGATTCGATGAGAAACTTTGCAAGTGCTGTATGCTTGACCCTGTGAGACAGCACGTGGGGATTTGCCCTAAACAAGGTTAGCAGGGGCTGTTACCTGTGTGTCAGCTCCGAGCCTCCTGCTGCGCGCACGGTCCTGCCCACCAGCTCCTGCAGCCTGGTTTTCCTGCCCGGCTGGTGTGCAGGCTGGAGCCACGCTTCCCAGCTGTGGTCTGTGCCACCTGGCCCTTGGCTGCAGGCCGAGTTGTGGAACTGGGAAGCTCCCCAGCCACAGGAGTGCCGCCGCCGGTGACCAGCAGCGCCAGACGGGGCAGGTTGCGAGGCGAGGAGCGTGTGCCGGCTGACGGGTCCCCTCCACGCCTCGATCCGTGTGCGGGGCAGGGCACCGGCATCCCGGGGTGAGACACTGCCCCTGCGTTACCTGGAGCCGCGGATTCAACCCCACATATGTTACCACAGGCCTCGTAGAGCCTCTTGCTGCCACCCCGTCTCCCTAGATCAGCGCAGGCAGCCTTCTGACTGTAGCCTTTCCCAATTCATTTGTGGTGGAAATAATACTTTGTAGATAATGGTATGTAACAGAGCTGCCGTGCTGAGGCAGAGCCGCTCGTTTTCCATGTCTCACGTTTTTGAAAAGGATCAGAAATTAATACCTTCTTTTCTTTAAAACTTATTTTAACCAATACTTTAGATGTTGAAAAAGACAAAAAGGAAGCTAATGTTAAATTGGGAAGTAATTTCACTTGTGACAAAAATAACTATACTGAAACTCCAAGGTTTGGTCAGCTTCTGACATACATGTTGTAATAAAGTCAGAAATGGATATTGAGAATTGATATTGTTCTTTGCATTTTCAGTCACTTGTCTACATCTCCCATGTTTGGGATCAACATTTTCAAGAACTATTTATTCATTCTTCCGAAAATAATTATGTGAGGATTTATGCTTTGAAATATGTCACAGCTTGTTCAGCCTCTTTATCCATTAAAACCTAAAATCATTTTTCTAATCTTAACCAAAAGGTTTTAACACTTATATTGAATCTTGAGAAAAGCAGCTTGACTTTTAATTGTACTGACTTATGGAATGATCTGCTCAGGAGAATAGTAGGTGATACACCAGCAAAAAAAGGCTTTAACTTAGTAGCCTCCAACTGCAATTAAATGGTGTCTACATTTATGAGATGCCTGAAAAGCCTGTAAATAATCCAGTTTGTTTTTATATTTAGATGACTTTAAGCCTGCATCTATCGATATGTCCTGTGAAGGAGACCTTGAAGTTGGCAAAGGTGAACAGGTGACAATAACGCTGCCAAATATTGAGGTGAGTGGGGTGGCTGAGGGGTGGTGGGCCTAAGGGAGTGATTTATTTTGTTGTCATAAGTATATATCCTGAATATGGAAGGGTATAAAGTTTCAGTGGTGTTTCAGAGCTGCCTGTGTGATTTTCAGAGTAGGAAAACAATTGCTCTAGGAATGTAAAACTACAGAAGACCCAAAGGTTAAGCAGCTGCACTGTAACTTTAAGTGTGTTGGCCACATTGGAAATATGCTGTAGGATGACCCAAAGTGTTGCGTACTCAGAAAAGCTTCGTGTGTATGTTGGCAGTGCAAGTTTCCCCTTGGTATTTATTGCTCTAGTGCAGTCCTAAAGCAGGAAAGACTGGAAAGGGAAAATTTACTACCTGCCATGCTTTACTGCTCTCCTGATATGGGAACTGAAACCCTTTTGGTGAAAGGAGTCCTACAGGGAGCCTGCTCGCCTTGGGAAATGAGCCTTTAATCAGTTTCAAACTAAGCTAAGCTGAGTGAAATCCCATTCCAGTCAAATACTGACCGCTTTTGGGCATGGCTACTGTGAATCTGATTTAAATTAACCAGTAACATTTTTATAGGCTAGAAATGATCACTTGTAGTGAACTTGCCATCACTGATGGATTGCTGTTTCTAAGAAGAAAGATTATAGGAGTAACACTTACTGGACTTCTGATTTAATAGGGCTCAACTCCACCAGTGACTGTGTTCAAGGGCTCAAAGAAGCCTTACCTAAAAGAATGTATCTTAATTATCAACCATGACACTGGAGAATGTCGCCTAGAGAAACTTAGTAGCAACATCACTGTGAAAAAAACCAGGTGGGTGATTTACAAGAGAAACAACTGTGCTTTACTCATTGTGAAAATCGATTTGTTAATGGGCCTAAATTGAGATATGTAACTACCCATTACTATTTTTAGCAAAATATAATTTTAGAAAGTAACTGGTCTCGTTCAAAGGAGCAAGAGTTCAGCCTGCTCTCTCAGCACACTGACTTCACAGCTTTCAAGTCTTGACTGCAAAAGAAATGGGAATTTATTTTTTTGTTAACCAAAACCTGTTACATTATTGAGAGAAATAGTAACTATTTTCTGATGACTTTGGAGGGAGAAATAAAACCTTTCTGGACAGTAGTTTGCCTACTGTCTTCTGACTGTAAATTAGGAAATAAAAAAAAAGAGATAAATTCTGTGACAGGCTTCAGTAATTTTAATGGCTTGTTTTTCTCATACCAAGATTTTAAATTTTTTTGTCCTGCTGCTGAGTCCATGTAAGTAACTTCCAGCAGAATTATTATTAAGTGATCCTGGGCAGCCAGGTACAAGAACAAATCAACTGACAAAGTGTTATAAAGTTATTAGCACTGTATCAAAAAACAAATTTTAACACATTTGTAAACAATATTATACCAGTATAATAACTTACCTAAGAATCTAATGATAGTATTTAGAAAGGTGTCAGAAATAATTCCCTTGTACCATATCCCCTGTATTCTGCCTTTTTCCTTGCATCTTGTCTTCTAGCAATTATAAATCTTTTCCTTTTACACACAGAGCTGAAGGAAGCAGTAAAGTCCAGTCTCGCATCGAGCAGCAACAGCAGCAAATGCGAAATGCAACCAAAGTTCCCAACAACGTTAAATACTCTCCGTCAAAAGAAAAAATGTTTCCATCTTCTCCCATGGATGATATAGAACGAGGTAAGCTCCACCGGCACATAAGTTTCAGGAACTTTGCTCTTCACGAGCAATTAATTCATAAGAGCCCAGGTTTTTGCTTGTGTGGTGGGGTTTTTTTTGTTTGGTTGGTTTTTTGTTTGTTTGTTTTTTAATTTGAGATTAAATACATTAGAGGTTTGATCATGTAAGCACTTTACTCTGATATGGAAATGACCACTCTGGCTGAAGTGGGTAACAAAGCAGCATTTGTAACTTGCTAAGGCAAAAAAACAGTGAACCATTAGGGTTAATAATGCCAAGGGTCCCACTGCTCCCTCCTTGTCTCTGGCCTCCAACTGCTTCGTTAATCAAGTATGTGGTTGATTGTATCGTGGCACTGGAACCAACTGAGTC